GATTTATGAAACACATATTCCGTCAATTTTCAAGAGGTATCGGTTGTTCACCAGCATCCTTTTGGCGTGGACGACACTGGGGATGCTCCACCCAACAGATTTTCACCGGTCGTTTGATCGTGTCTTGCTTTCTCTGTTTTCTCTTGCAACAGATGCACATCCTAATCAGATGATGTTGGGAAGTCGAAGGAGACTGCAGGTTCAGTCCGAAAAACTGGGAACCCGTCACATGTGCCAGGTTTTGATCAAGGATCATGCAGCGAATTTTGCATGATCTGTAACTTTCAGCAAGCTTCCCAGTGAAGGTGGAGGCACATCAGAAGTTTGGTAGGCGAATAGAAAACCAATGTTGTTCCAAGGGAAGATGTGTGGATCCAAATACACAAGGCATATCCAAGACATCAACAGGGTTCACCTCCCAACCACTTCCAGCGGCAGGCGCTTCCACGGCTCGGTCTTGGAGCGATCCCGTGTGGTACACACTCCAGGACTTGAGGTCTTACGTCTCTCTGAACGCTCTGGAGGCGTTTTGCACCTCTCTTTTAGGGGGTTTTGCACCTCTCCTACCTCTGTCCATCCCTCTCCGATGGGGTGTTTTGATGAGACGCTCCTGTCACTCCACCCACAGGACCACGCCACCTAATTGTTGCTCAATGACACTTGCGGCCTAGTTGTTTGGTTTGTGTTTGCATTCTGTTTTGGTTCTTGTCCAAGCGTGTTCTATGTAAATCTATGTGAACTCTGAACTTCACTGAACATCTCTCAACGGCCGCAGAGTGGCATCCTTTCGCCAGTGTCGTATGATGGCTGATAGCCATCGACGTATCGATTTCTTGCGATTTGAGGCAACTTCTTAAAACAAGGATGCCATGTCTTATGAAGGGTGGACCCCAGTGGTGGAGTGTTTTAATGTGTTTTAATAGATGCAGACCAGGTGCTATTGTGTGCTATTCCTTTTTCGGGGCCCACTCTTTGTGCGATTCGTGTTTCAGAGCTACTTGCGAGCTGTGGACAGCTGGGTAAGAAAGTCGCCGGAGCGCATTTTCCCATCTCAGGGGGGTTCATCCTCCTTGCGGTGCAACAACTGGCCGAAGGGTCAGCTAAATACCATGATTGGATGCTTGATGGTGCCGCAACTCAAGCGCTTGGCCTTGAACTGGTTTCCTGATGCAGGCAAACTCAAGATGTTGTTGTAAACATCATAATAGAATGATCCTTGCAAGATAGCTTCAAGTGTTTGGAGGGGCACTTGATACCCCGACCTTGAGCTTTGTATGGATGAGGGCGAATTGGAATCACATTTCCGGAATTGGATCAAGTGATGAGTTTGAGTTGGCTCTCTATGTCCTGCAAGGCTTCAAGGGCCTAGGGAACATTTCTGAAAATTTCAGTTGCCTGGCTTGCACATTTGCAACCAGCGAACAAGAGCTGACAATCTTCTCAACATCATTTGCTGAGCGGACAAGGGCCTGGACGGCCTGGGTTCCGAAAAACCTGGTCCTTCACCACTTGAGACAATCAATGAATCTCGGTGTTCCGCGAATGTGGAGGACAAATGGTTGCGGTTGCTTCGCCATGATGGATGGTCTGTGATGTTGGAAGGAGGTCACCCTTACAAGCTAGTTACACAGCTAGTTCCTGAAGGCTTTGTTGCAGCATGCACGTAGACTTCATGCATTCTGAAAGTGAATTCTCGTACTGCACCCACGAAATGGGTTCGGAGGGGTGGTTTTGAATCTGTGCAGTTTGGACCACAATCTGCAAGAAAGCAATGCGTGATGCATTTCCCAAAATATGTTGGATAATCCTTGCAAGCATTTCCAAACCCGAGGATCCACCTGGCATCACTTGGCTTGTAGGCATTGAAAGCATTTGTGAAGACCTGTGGATCCCTGGGATGGCTGAGTAAAACGATCATGATTGTTGATCAATTTGCTCTTGGCCTTCCAGGTGCCTGAGCTGGACCTGGGTCTCCAGGCAATGAGGCGCTCAAGCTGCCATCATGAGGGTTCACCGTGTTCCACAGATCTTGCATTTGATGAATGGCAATGGAAATATAGCATAAAAGGAACATCCGCATATTTGGACCTATATGGGTTCTTTTGCACATTAAATAAAAATTTTGGATATTTTAAATCATATTCATCCAGGGATTCAATGAAATAAACCAAAATACGACACATGAAAAATCCTTGACAGGGACCATATTTCCCACAAAATAATGCAATGGAAATGAATAATTGAAAATATTATATATATATATATTTATTTAAAATAAAATTATTAAATTAGGATTGAAATTTAATTTTTTCTTTATATTGCATATTAAATAAATATATTTAAATTAATATATTTTAATTTTAGATTATTATTGTATTAATTTCTTTTTATTAATTTGGTGGTTTCAAAAAAAATTATACAATAGAAATATATATATATTATATATAAATAAATATATGTTAATTTTTTTGGAACGATATATTTGAACATATACAATTTATTTATAATTAAAATAATGATAAATGTTATTTTAGCTTAAAAGGGTGTAGTTTAGTGGTAATATTATTGTTTTTTTTGTATTTTTATATGTTATTTTTGTTGATTATCGTTGTTTTTTGTATTTTACATTTTGTTGGAAATTTTAGTCTTAAATCCGAGGTTTTTTTATGTGTTGGTTAATGATAACATGGAGATTGGCACGAGGATTGCCGGTTGTTTATGTTCTTAGTGATGATTTATCGAAGCATATTTTTAAATCTTGGAATTCTGATCTTAGAATTTTCTTATGGAATGTAGGCAATGGTCTGGTCTACGATGAATGAATCTTTTGGAATGATTAGAGCAGATATAATATTCTTTTCATTTAGGAAATAGGCTGGATTTTTTTCGAATTAATGACATATCCATAAAAGAACCTCATAATTACTCCTTTTCAACGCTTTTTTTCTCGCAGGCTCCGTGTCGGATTCATTCGGACAACGGTGCACGACGAAAGGGTGTATGAGCATCCATTAACGGCCTGCTCCTCGAAAGCAGGGCCAAGCAAGGCAAATTGCTGGACGCTCCCTTTGATGGCACGCAACGACCAAGTGCCAAAGTAATCGAGAATGAGTCGCCGACAGGTCGGTGCAAGACGGAGCCGAATGCATCCTGTCCAACCAATGTAGGCAGGGTTGGCAGGTCGTCCATGTATGGCCTTCCACCCGGGCATCCATGCTCGCAAACAACTCTGGCAATAGCCCGCCCACGCTTTGCAATTCTCTGGGAAGTCGAAGAGACCGCTATCATCCTGGAGCTTCTAGCCGGACTTGAGGCGGGAGACCCCAATCGATCCCGTCTTCAATTGCCAAGCTATGAACAATTCATGCCAAGCGTAGAGCAGCGGTGGCTCAGCCGAGTCGGACAGGTTGGTCCAAAAGGAAATGAACTTGTCAAACCCTCGAAAACGCAGCTTGTCCGGCGAACTCCATTTCAGCCAGTGGCTGAAGGCATGGGTGTCAATGGCGATGTGCTCATGCTGGCATCTAATCTGCTTATCATGAGACTGCTGCAAAGGCTTCTTACACTGTAGGGCCATGAGGCCGACACGAACAAAGTGGGCATAAACACTCGAAGTCCCTGATTGTAGGAGTTGGTACTCCCGCCTGGCGGTGGCCGCCTGGGCAAGTATAGGTGCTGGCAGTTGGTGGAGCGCATAACTGGCCCAACAGTCAGCCCACGCATTGCCTTCAAGGACAAATTGCTCTGCATAAGAGTAATTAGTTGTATCTATATGGGAGGTGACCTTCAAGATGGCCATCCGATGCCTCGTTGGAAGGACAAGCTGAAGGACAATGCCCCACAGGTCACTATCAGCGCAGCTTGCGGTCAGCCGTCCAGCGCTCTTGACCCTTTGGTCCAGACTTCCTCGTTGTCCGTCCAAATCCGAAAGCGGTGGGTGCCATTTTGGACAAAGCGCAGCGCACTGATGAGGGCCCAAATCTCGGCGCGAACGACTGTCTGCCGTGGACCCGGTACCCAGCCCCAAGCCACCGGCTCCAAGGTCTGATGGGTACGATGCCCCGAAGCCACTAGTGCCCAAGAAGCGATGCGGGTTGCTTGGCATGCAGGGATGTCAATTGTGCCATCAGTGAATAGATCGACAGTGTCATGCTGCCACTCATCGGCCCGGCGAAAAACCATGGTGGTTCGATCTGGCAAGCCGGAGAGCATCTGTCGAAAAGTGAGCACCGACGTGGGCCAAGTGGGCCATCCCCGCATTCGGAAGCACTCAGGCTGGGTCGCCAAACAATGGTGTGCCTCGGATGTCAGCATCAGCCGAGAAGCTTGCGTGGCCGGACAGTCCCAGTGCCTATGCTCTAGCGAATCCTGTGCTCCGCACCATGGGCAAATGGGCGTGTCAGAGGTTGCACCTTTATGAGCTAGAATGATGAAGGACCCGTTGAGCAATGATCTCAGGAGCCCACGCTGGTCTTTTGCAAAGGACGCCAGCTGCGCAATTGCGATCCAAGGACAGACATCTTGGAGGCCTCGGAAGCCCTTGCGGTGTTCCCATCTCAACCCAATAGTGGTGTACCAATCGAGTTGAAACCACAATTTAAGCTCCTGAGGAGAGACAGTGGCAAGATCACACAAGACTCCCTGCCGGGTGCGAAAGGCAAGACTGTGGGACCAGACCCAACCAATGGACCCCAATCATGACTGCAGGACTCCACATGGACCAGGGATGTGCTTCGATTGGAGCTGCTCATTGATCACTGCAAAAATGGGCGACTGCTGATCAGGATCGCAGAATTTGCGAAATGCGACGGCAGTTTGCTCCAAAGCAAAGTATTCAGGGTCAGTGTTTGGTTTTTCCATCATAAATTGAAGCTGAGGTTGCGCACCCTTATTCCGGAACCGAAGAGCTTGGAACAAACCTGCTCGCATGCTTTCAAAGTGCTTAGGGCCAAGGGAGATGGTGGCAATCCCATGCAATGCTCGAGGCCATGCACAGCAACGGGCGGCGCGAAGCTTTTGAGGAGCCGTGGCAGGGCTCCGCGCGAGCCTCCCCCACAGGGTCTCAAGCTGCTGACATTTGGCAGTCACTGTGTAGTTCGTCCTGCGATGGGAATAGTGCATGTGGCCTCCCAGATTCCGCCCATCAAGTTGTGTGGGGCATCCCGACTCTCTCAAGGCAGCCCGATGGTCTGGGATCAAGGCCCACCCAAAGGTCTTGTTGTGATCAAGCTCAAGATCAAGCGACACACAAATGGCCTGAAGGGCAGGAAGGCTGCTGGTAAGAGCATCCACCGAACTGGATTCGAGCTCCCATTTGTCAACATATGAAGTGAATGACACCTGGGGCCATAGACAGTGGAACCACCTATCAACAATCCAATCAATGATGGCCATGGCAACTACGCTAAGCCCACATCCTTCTGGGAAGCCCCGGGATCCTTGTATACCATCACTCAAGGCTCGGCGAACACAAAAGTGTCGGGTATTAGTGGCCACAAAACCCATCCATGCTTTCAGCAAAGTGCCCTCAATGCCTATGTGGACTGCCGCCCGAAACACTGGCTCACGCGGAAGGGTGTTGAATGCCTTCGTCAGGTCGAGGACGTAACCCTGAGCTGGAGCGCCATCGAACATCAGGGTTTCGATCATGGCCTGATTTTTCCACCAAATGGCAATGGTAGAGGCTCCAATGCGGTTACCCTGAAGCCCAGGTGGGGCATGAGTGCTGATGAACTGCAACACATGCTTGGATTGGAGCGAGGACCAAATTCGGTATGGGAATGGATAGATCGTGATTGGTCTATAATCGTGAATGGTGGCAGCTTGCGCGGTCTTTTGCAGACTATGGACCACTCCATGGCGAAGCTGAATCGGCCAAATGCCTGTCTGCTCGGCTTTGTGGTAAATGGAAAGCAACTGAATCACTCCTGAGTCTGGCATGGATAGAAGATCACTGCGCCCCATGCCATCAATGCCAACTGCACTACGGGGCTTACGAGATCGAACAAAGGCTCGAAACATGTCAACTGTAATGACCAAGTGATTATGAGGCAAAGGCTGGAACAGTGCAGAAATGGTCGAATCCACCTGTTGCCAGTGACCAGGGTCTAAGTCATCATGCTTGCACCATCTTTGGGCCCAGGCATGTTCGAACTCTGCATGTAGTTCCTGCAATGAGCCGACAAAGCACTGCTGCCGAATGAGGTCTCCCACACTAGGCATGGGGCCATCAACCCAGGCTTGACCCTCATCACATTCAACAATGTGGCAATGCCCCTTCGCATGAGAAAGTGGGACAGCAGGGTCGAAGGCATGGTTGGGAGCGAAGCAGAAGGAATCCTCTGATTCAATGGATGTGACCCTGGCCTCGGTGCTGTGGACCAAGGTTGAGATGGGCTCCGGACCGGGTGCTGGAATATCACAAAAGACTTGGTTTGCATCTTGCTGCCGACGCTGCTCTGCGAATTTCCGCTTAGATGAGATGAGGTCTTGCTCAAATTGCTCGACATAACCCTCGAATGCCTGCGCAAGTGACATGGCTACCGACTTGGGCGGGATGCTAGACGGAAAGGGGCAGGCTCCCCTGCCTACTGTCAAGTGTTTGTCCCACCAGCTCGGAAAGGTCCCGTCAAATGGAGCTCTGCAGATGATGAGCCCAGACCTCATTGCAACAACCTAGGAAGACCTGCCTCGTTAAGGTGTGTACGATGTGTGTGCACCTGAGAGTGGGACAGGTTCCAATGAACCTTGAACAAGCTTCGGTCGCTGCGACCACGTACTGCTTGCCCGAGGGCTGCCACCTCTGACCGCTACGGTCACGTAAAGGCATGAGCCAACTTGGAATTCCAAAAATGAGACAAACATCCCACTTCTTGAGGCATAAGCCAGCTTCGCCCGCTGTGGGCACTTACGTTTCCAAAGCAAGGGAAACAGCGACAAACCCCCGTTCAACGGGTCCACGGGAGGCACTCGAGATGGAAGCGGAGCTGTCATCTCTCATGCGGGCAAAGTTGACAAGGCGTCGCAGCTGTGTGAAACAACGGCGGTACATCAAAGATTCAACATGCACGGCAGGGGCTCTCTCACCTAAGCGAGATGGCTTCACCGGGCATCGATCACAGACCACCGTGCTCAGGTGGGTGGTTTTGCCTCGGCCTAATTGGTGAGAGTGAGGCTCTTTATGACCTAGGGAACGGCAAGTATGGCGAAGGGCTTGCTCATACTGATGACACAGTTCTTTGTAAGCCTCTGTCGGATCACTGGCTATGACGGGCAGGTGCATCGTCGAGCGGCAGAGAGACTTTTGGACCTCAGACGACAGGTCGAAAGGCTTAGGCTGTCGCCAAATCTTGGCGGGCTCAGGAGGACCCAGCCGGCGGAAGTTGCCTGACAGCACCGCATGGTCCGGAAAGGTTACATTATCAATTCGAACTGCAAGAAGCAAATCACGGAGTTCCGGAGAGACAAACACAAAGTCTTTCCCGGTCTTTCCTTTACAGGTCATGGCTGGGGCCATTTGCCAGTGGAGCCACGCTAAGTCTTGCAAGTCAGTGAATCCAGCTCGCTTCCAGAGCTCGATCTCACGGAGGGATTGCAGTTCCTGGTTGAAATCACCAGCTGCAAAGCGAGGGCTCGAGAGGTGGACCACTTGGCGTGTGAGCTCCTGCAGGAGAACCTCAGTACGGTCACGGACGGGGTGAGTAGCTGCCAAAAAAGCTTCACCATAAGCTACTCCTCCAGTGATCCATTGTCCATGGACACAAAACTTGGCTGCCGCTACCCTAGATGTGGCATATAATTCAGCATTCCAGCCTGCAAGAATGGGTCGGCACGGAAACGTAGAAATGAAGGCAACCCCAGTTTGTTTTCCCCCTACAGCAAATTTGGCCTTAGACTTGAAGGGGGCCGGATGCCAGTGAGCAGCTTACGGGGCGGCTGCATGAACTTTAACTCTCTGCGAATCTTGTGTTCTCCAGCATGGGTGAGTGCACTCTCACTGACTGCGAAAATTCCCTGAGGGAGGTCACGAACGTGGTCACTTTTGAACAGCAGGCCACTCGGATTGATGGCACCCAGAGACCATTCTCCAAGTTCACAGGCATTGGACGAAGGTGGGCCTGGAACATGGGCTTCACCAATGCGAAAGGTCCCAAGACAAAGCACTCTGGCCTGATACGACGAGGCCCTGGGCAAATGCTCTGAGGGAGGCGAAAGCCGCATGGCATGACGCTGTGACCTCGACTGAAATGGCGCCACATTGGCAGGAATCAAATCACACCCCGGACAGAGCACCATGTGCATGGATGTCAGGGACTGCGACCATGGTTGACCTGTGCCAGGAATTCCCCAAAATTCTTCAGTGTCATAGTGGCAAGACACAGACGAAGGTGCCTGCGGCATGGACCAAAAATCACCACCAAATGCTCTCCGTACTCTGTAATCAAGCCTACCGATCCAAATGTGTGGCAGCTTCGTGGCGGCGGATATGCTCTGCAGCGGAGAGGGTGGACTTTGTGCAAGCAAATCAGGCATTGCAACATGAGACCTGCCAAGGAAAAGCCTGACCAAACCCACCGTCTTGATCCCACCAAGCCAGACCAGTTCACGAGGTGGACGGCAAAAGCTGGAGGGGATTGCGAGCGACACACATGTCTTACACCCCGGGTGGCCACAAATATACTGTCTGACTTGCAACTTGTCTGCAGAGATGGAATGTGCGAACAGGAAAGATGGAACCATCTGCCAACACTGGAACCCAAAGCCAGGAACCCAATTTGGTGGACCAAGTGCAAACGGTGAAAGAGGCAGGTCAGATTGCAGCCAATATATATAGGGGGAGCCCAGAGACCCGTGACCAGAGTGCATACACCTAGCTTTTCTTGAGGCACCCCCCGGGGGAGGCCGGAGTGGACGTTGCGCGGTCGAATCTTGTGGTGAAAGATGACGGACACAAATCCGAACTACTTGATGCAGGGTGGGAATTGTCCGGGCATCACGTCTCAGTTTTGCAGATTGGTGCCAAACAGGAAAGCAAACGGACTGCAGACTGCTAAACTGGCCGGCGACAAAGGAGCAGTCAGCACCAAAGGGTCTCCCAGCGCTCAACTGTGACTCATTCAAGGGACAGGCAGGACCAAGGCAAAATGCAGTCAAGCTACTGAACTGACCTGGACGAAGTGAGGCCTCCTCTGGCAAGTGGTCAAAAGGCAAACTCACAACCAAAGGGGCCGTCCGAACGTCGACGATTGGACGGCCCCTTTTCTTCAGCCTCCTGGGCAGGGCTCCTCGCCCCCATACAACCGACTCGACCAAGAGATGTAGACCATATGCCCTAATGTCGCAACGCTGGACTGGGATGCGACTGCAGTGGTGGCATGACGACTGAGCCATCTGGCCAGGTCTGGGCCTCTGCATAGTGCCTCCACAGCTCAAGGCCGAAATTGCACTGGAGATGATCAATCCTCGCAATGATGGCACACTCCTAACGGCAATGGAGTACCGCAAAGTTGGCAACCCTGACTCAGGCTTGTGTGGATAAGGCGCATGCTTAATGTCGGAAATGGAATTCTTCCCAGGCGACCTGCCTCGGATCGAAGTGGACGTAGTGCGGTCGACTCTTGTACTGGCAAAGGTAGTCTCATTCCTACCAGAAGGTCAGATCTCGGCGGCAGTAACCGTTGGCAATGGACCTGCGAGAGACCTGAAACAACTGCCAAACCCTGTGGGCGCTCGTTAATGTTGGACGGACAGGAAAAGGACCACTTCTTCCCAACATCAGGGTGAGGGATGTCCCAGCAAATGACAGTGGGACTGACATTGAACGAACAAGCCATTGGCAGACCCCCCAGCAAGCAACAAGTGAATATCCCTTGCCGAAAGCTAGTAGCGCACCGTTTGTCAAGACTAGCACATGAAAGACCAAGGTGAGAAAGTGCAAGTGACCCTGGAAGCTGGCCAAGAGGTCTCGGATTGTCCTCGAGCCTGGTCCAGGTAGGATGGTCCCAAACACCTTGGGCATGATCAACCGACCGGCATGGCCAAAGAGGTGCGATCAAAGGATGTAGTATCTGTGGCATATCCTGTGCACGAAAAGGGGCCGTCCGAGCGTCGACGATTGGACGGTCCCTATTCTTCAGCCCCCTGGGCAGGGCTCCTCGCCCCCATACAACCGACTCGACCAAGAGAGGTAGACCCCTAATGTCACAACGCTGGACTGGGGTGCGACTGCAGTGGTAGCATGACGACTGAGCCATCGGGCCAGGTCTGGACCTCTGCGTAGTGCCTCCACAGCTCAAGGCCGAAATTACATTGGCGATGATCAATCCTCGCAATGATGGCACACTCCTAACGGCAATGGAGTACCGCAAAGTTGGCAACCCTGACTCAGACTTGTGTGGATAAGGCACATGCTTAATGTCGAACTCCTCCCGGGCGACCCGCCTACGGATCAAAGTGGACCTAGTGCAGTCGACTCTTGTACTGGCAGAGGTGGTCGCATTCCTACCAGAAGGTCAGATCTCAGCGGCTGCAACTGTTGGCAATGGACCTGCGAGAGACCTGAAACAACTGCCAAACCCTGTGGGTGCTTGTTAATGTTGGGCGGACAGGAAAAGGACCACTTCTTCCCAACATCAGGGTGAGGGATGTCCCAGCAAATGACAGTGGGACTGACATTGAACGAACAAGCCATTGGCGGACCCCACAGCAGGCAACAAGTGAATATCCCTTGCCGAAAGCTGGTAGCACACCGTCTGTCAAGACCAGCACATGAAGGACCCAGGTGAGACAGTGCAAGTGACCCTCGAAGCTGGCCAAGAGGTCTCGGATTGTCCTCGAACCTGGTCCAGGTAGGATGGTTCCAAACACCTTGGGCATGATCACCCGAACGGCATGGCCAAAGAGGCGCGATCAAAGGATGCAGAATCTGTGGCATATTCTGCGCACGAAAAGGGGCCGTCCGAACGTCGACGATTGGATGGCCCCTTTTCTTCAGCCCCCTGGGCAGGGCTCCTCGCCCCCATACAACCGACTCGACCAAGAGATGTAGACCATATGCCCTAATGCCACAACGCTGGACTGGGATATGACTGCAGTGGTGGCATGACGACTGAGACATCTGGCCAGGTCTGGACATCTGCGTAGTGCCTTCACAGCTCAAAACCGAAATTGCACTGGTGATGATCAATCCTCGCAATGATGGCACTTTCCTAACGGCAATGGAGCACCGCAAAGTTGGCAACCCTGACTCAGGCTGGTGTGGATAAGGAACATGATTAATGTCGAAAATGGAACTCCTCCCAGGTGACCTGCCTACGGAGCGAAGTGGACCTAGTGCAGTCGACTCTTGTACTGGCAGAGGTAGTCTCATTCCTGCCACAAGGTAAGATCTCGGCGGCGGTAACTGTTGGCAATGGACCTGCGAGAGACTTGAAACAACTGCCAAACCCTGTGGGCGCTTGTTAATGTTGGGCGGACAGGAAAAGGACCACTTCTTCCCAACATCAGGGTGAGGGATGTCCCAGCAAATGACAGTGGGACTGACATTGAACGAATAAGCCATTGGTGGACCCCACAGCAGGCAACAAATGAATATCCCTTGCCGAAAGCTAGTACCGCACCGTTTATCAAGACTAGCACATGAAGGACCAAGGTGAGAGAGTGCAAGTGGCCCTCGAAGCTCTGGCCAAGAGGTCTCGGATTGGGATGATCCCAAACACCTTGGGCATGATCAACCGACCGGCGTGGCCAAAGAGGTGCGATCAAAGGATGTAGTATCTGTGGCATATTTTGTGCGCGAAAAGAGGCGGGCACAGCCGTAGAATCAAAGCATCCCATCTCCTCACTGTCCGGAAAGGCATGCGGCATACATCGAATTGGACTACTATGAGCCGGGTCGGCTAGGCATAGCAACATGACAACCCAAGTGCAGAACGGACTCATTGACCCAAAGGCCTGAGATCTGACAACCCTATGTTCACATGGATGAATTGAGCTCCCCACAGACCAAAGCTGATGCAATCCTTCCATGTGCCCCGTGCAAGACCTTGCACCCTTTCGGGAACAAATCATGAAACTCAGGACAACAAAGACCAAAACAGAGAAAAGGATGACAATGGCTTGCAAACCCAAATCAGAAGACATGTGCAACAAGGCACTGGAGACCACCGAAATTAGGCTCAGGCATGCGAAGATGCCCTGCCTCTCCTGTCACTCTTGGCCGGTGCGGAGCCGCGGAAACGCTTGGAGAGCATGTTGTCAAGCTTCTGCAGGTGCTGCGTCAATTTGGACTCAATCGCACTTTCAATTGATCTCGCCGTGGCTTCAACCTTAGTGGTCAAAGATGACACTTGGGTGGAAATGGCCTGTGTGTCGGCAATTTGCTTGGCCTGAGCTTGAGTCAGCTGCTGGACCTGTAGTTCGAGCTGCTCTACTCGGTTCATGACTCCAATGTCCATGGATACATCCTCGTTCTCATCGGAGACTTTGGCAGCTACCTTGGCTTCAAGTGAGGCCGCAAAGGCGCTAAGATGAGCCTGGGTCACATACCTAGCTTCTGCAGGCATAACTGACTTGGAGGACTGAGCCCATGGGTCATGGAGCTGCAGTGGATCTTGGCCCGCAGTGGACAATGAATCCCTCGTCCTCTTGGACGCGACCAAAACCGGGGCCGGCTTGGTGTCAACAGCAGGAGGCAGGTCGACACGAGTCAGCAACACATCCCCATGACTCAATGAATAAACTGTTGGAGGCGGAGATCCGGCTGAATGCAGATTCCACAACAGACCTGACCCATCAGGCGATTTGCCGGTGGTATGCAAAGCTTTGGCCTTCCAGCCCCATTCGTCGATGAGCTTCTGCACGGACTGCTTAGATGAACCCCAAGGCAACGGACCCATGCACCAAGTCTGTTTGTTGGGGCCTAACATCACGGCCTGCTCATGTCGAACAGCGGCATGGACGGATTCTGCATCTTTGGCTGAGACACGGAGGCCATACTTATGCCCAATTCTGATGATGGCTGACGCTTCTTTGATTGCTGCCTGCTCAGCCTGGGCTTCTCGAAGTGACTTGCGCGGGAGCCAAACAGTGAAGTGGTGAATGTCATCACATTTTCCATCAGGTGCTCGAATCTCCGTGTAGCAGCCATGGGTGCCTGACTGTCGCAAAAACAGATTCCACTGAAGGCAACACATGAACACATCAGCTGAACCAGGGACGACCCTGCGGAACTTAAGGCTGACAAAATCACGATTCCAAACATCCATGATCATGTCACTGTCGTCACGTGATTGAGGGTGAAAGCGCGAACAGCTGCAAGACGGCTCACGGCAAGTGACCAGCTGAGGGAAAAATTCCAGCAGGTGCTTCACAGGAGCTGCCACAATCATTTCCCAAGAAGTTGGGCACTCATCTCGAAACAGAGCCACTTTGATCACAACGTTTGAGACCTCTTGAATCTGCAGTGGCTGATCAGGAACATTGCGCTCAACCAGAATGGCCCCTTTTTGCAGCAACAAAGCCGAAACCAGCATCGGTTCATTTGTCTGAACACAGATGACAGGGAAGCGAATCATCTCACCAAACTTCTCCATCATGTATTTGCTCGGTGAAAGGACCAAGAGGGCCAAACCCTGGCTGGATAGGCCTGGCTTGCCAATATAGGGACCCAAATCCTCTTCATGACCGACTACAACTCCAGCTGCGGATGGCGAGATCTCGTTGATCTTCAGCTGTGAAAGCTCTCCTCCATTCTGCTGCCTGAAGACTCCAGGGGGAATGAGAATGTCATTTGGATGAATCGATGCGGCCAGCTCTGGGACCTGCTTGGTCTTTTTGCGCTTGTCCGATTTCTTACCAACTGGGGCCACCGAACGGGCCCGATCTCCCAAGGCTGCCTGAAGCTCAGCTTCCAAGACGATCTGGAGCTTTGGCTTGTGGTTGTTGCAAATTTGCTTGAGATGCCTCCAAGGGTTCTTACTTTTGAACATGTCCTGAATTTTGGTCTCACCCAGATGCGAGAGCAGCATAGTGGCTCGTTCCATCACCTTATTTTCAGGGATTGCATGTTCACGTAGGACACCTGCCAGTGCCACTTGCAGCTCAGAGCCACCACCCAGAAGCCAATTCCTGGGAAGAAACTGATCACTGCGTCCAATAAGTGCCATGAGGAAATTGCTACGCATTTGAATGGCTTTGCTCCAATCGGCGGACTCAAATTCCGACTCAGCTGATCTAGCCGTAAGCCACATGAATGCTTGAAAACCACAGTCTTGAGGGAATTCCTGAGGCATGCTCGAGATGTGCATGAAGTGCCCAACCCTGACTTGTTGGTCGAACAGCGATGGCCACAATGAGGCCCCGCCCTGAGTCACGATGAACCTGATCTTACCATGAGGAGCCTTGTGAACAATCACCGGAGACCAATGACCATCAGCCAAAAAGGCAGACAGGACTCCTGAATCATCCAATGCCCCCTGAACAACAGAAAGCCAAGCGGTCGAAACGACGGAAGCCGACCCAAGGTCATCAATGATCATTGGTGGCACCCAGGGCATCTTAAAGGTGGCGGAAACCGTATTGAGATAAAACTCCATCTCATCAACCGCAACTTTGGGACCGTTGGCGGCAAGCCACATGATACGTGAAGTCATGGCCTCAGGGAACTGGTCATGTGCAAAGTAGACATAGAACCTACCCGGCTCCAACACAGCTTCATCGGTCAGACGGCAGCCCAAAAGGTCAAAAAGCTTGCCATTGAACCCTGTGATAACTGATTCGGCTCGCAAGAAGCCTGCGACAGTGGTGACTCCTCGGACCGGAATGGCTTGAACACTGTTTTCACACACCCGGACCACCCCAATCATCTGTTGGGTAAACTCTGCAGGTGCACTCTCTCGGACGAATGGCTTGAGGGCATGCAGCGAGTCCATTGCGCTCGAGGCCTCAACGGGTAAAGGCTCCGGCACTTCCGCACTCATGGCAATGAGCTGGGTCTCCAATGGATTGCTGATCTGACCTGGCACTGTGGACGATTCAGATGCATTGGACTTACGCTTGTTAACTCGAAATCCGGAAATGGCTCCGGTAGCGTGGAAGTGACTGTCTGGCAGCCTGGCAAGGGAAGGACCGAAAAATTCACGGTGGGCGAAATGACTTCGGCAAACATCGATCGATCGTCTCTTGGGAGATCAGTCACCTCAGGTTGCACTTGCTTCAATGGACAGTCCTGGAATGGGCACTCCCAAGTCTCAGCAGGCCGGTGCGAGGCATGGGCGGTGACCTTAAACTCATGTGACCTAGACCCAACAGGATATCCCAAAAGATCAGTCAGGCTTTCCTCAAACATAACCATCGGCACTGTCTTGGTCATGTTGAACACCCGGTCACGCATGGCGAAGAGAGCATTGCAAACGGCGGCAATCGACTCTCTGGCCTCAATTGGATTGACTACATCAAAATTGCCTGCTCTGAGTTGGCGGTGCAGGCATGCGAAAATCAGGGCCGAATGGATAGGACTCGCCAACTGGCCCACCCCTGCAAGAAGAAGCCTTCCTGGATGATTTGCATGACTCATTGGATGTCCATTGAGTAAAGTAACTTCAATGGCTGATGCATGACGAAACTTGGGACCATCAGGAGTCTGCTCCTTGACCAATGCTCCAAACAAACCTCGCTCAGTCAGTCTGCGGTTGCTGAACGGCGGCCTGCACCCGCAGGCGCACGACTTTGTCTGATTGCCCCAGGCATGCAAAGCAGTCGGGGCTGTGGTGGCAGGATCAAGGATGAGGTCCTCAAAACTCTTGGCAAATTGTTGAAACTGCCTGAACTCATCATCACCCAACGAATAATCTTCCCATCCTGTATTTCCAAAGAGCTGCTGGAAGTCAGGGAGAAGGTCATTCACTGTAGGCTTTTCAGGCAGAGAGCCTCAATGGAAACTTTGCCAAATCGTGGTGCAGTCAGCACCAGCCACCAACGTTTTCGCTTGGACGGCCACATCGAGGACAAATCCATGATTGTTTCGCTCTTCTCATACCGAGTGGCGGTTGTGAACGATTGGAGAACCTGCTTGACAAAGGTCGATGTGGCTGCCTCACAAACACACTCGACCACAATGGCTGGCGCCTGGGTAATCCAACAAAAGAAGAGGGCATGAGGGAGTGACATGGCCCTTGAATCAAGTCCAGCTTTCTGATCTCCTGCGTTACTAAATGGTTGACAGCTGAAGCCAAAAGCCACACATGTAGAGCGGGGGTGAGCTTCAAATAGCTCCACCACGGTTGACAAACGGCCTATGTCCCCTTCAACAACTGCTGGATGACATTCTCGGAGAATTGAACAAAAGGAAGCCTGAATGTCGTTCACGGCCTTGATCTCCCAACCGACATACTGAGCCCCACAGCCCAGTGCACGCAAGCCGCAACAAGTTTCCTTTAGCTTGTAGAGGTCACTCGCAGTGACAGGAGGCAGGACCAACACGTACCTGGGATCATCAACAGTGAGGACATAGCCCAAGTGCGACCTGGTGAACAAGGCGCCAAGAACAGCCACCCTTGAAACGGTCTCATCCACCTTGGCGTTCAACACAAAGGGCTGTCGGTAGAGCAAACTACGACAAAGGCTCCCACCCGGATTATGGACCTCGATATCGGCTACTAGGGAGATCCTCATGCCAGGCTGAGTTGTGGCCAGACGAGGCTCCAACACCTCAGGGCAAGGGAGTCTGCTAGGGTGATCAACCATGGCGGACAACGCGTGGTGGAGGCCTCAAAGGTCTCTGCCCGCCCCGCCGCACCTGACTGGGAGGTGCCTTTGAGCAGTCACGGCTACCTCACAATTACTAATGATAAGACGTATAGTCATCTCCTCGGATAAAATAGCTTATAATGCTAGCATTCCAGGACGATTGGTCCACCTGCGCCTCATGTTCAATTGCATTCATGACATTTTCAATGTCTATCAATTTGTATGGAACCCCAGACGTAATCAAACGGATTTGATTCACGCTCGTGCAGAACTGTGGACACGTCTTGATGAGTCTGTACGCCATACACCACGACGTCACATGCTCTTGGTGGCCGGAGATTTCAACACGCCGCTGGACAGAGTTGATCCCTTTGTTTGCACCTCCGATGCAAGGTCCAGCCGTGCCTTACAGAAAGACAAACAAACTTTTCAGACGTTGGTCACTGATCTACGACCAGTAGCAATACATTGCAAACAATGTTATAAACACACGTTTCTCCATGGAAATCGTTCTCCATGGAAATCGTGCTACAAGCATTGACTTCATGTTCATGAGAGAGCACCAAATCCGTTGGCAGAAATTGAAGGCTCATGTTCATTGTCGTTTTGAACGAACTTTAGGTATTCTTGGTCCCATCCATCGACCTTTGACTGCTTCACTCCCCAGATGGTTTCAGCCACCAGTTGCACACTCGCCCATTAACCGTTTCAGGTTACGTCAAGAATTCCTGGGCCAGACCACCAGATGGCAAGCATTCGAACAAGCTGTCCACGCCCTCATTCGTACGCAGACCCTCAGGACCCCTGCTCATAATGATGCCTTGGTTTCCCAAAGCTGGTCCCTAGAGGCCGCTATTCGACAACTGTGTATCCGACATTTTCTCCGTCGGATCTCCCATGACCGCCCGCACTGCAGTGCCTTCGCCTCGATGACGGCCAGGATGTGGAATGCCAGAAGATTGTTCTCGAAGGCTACACCCTGCACTCTTCAGGCCATGTTTCAATGCTGGCGCCATGTGTGCACCTACTCGGTCTTGCACCGTCGAATTCGCTCTCTCAGTAAACAGAATAAACGTCAACGCCTTGTTGCTTTGATTCATGAAAGACAGTGCTGACCTTCCATTGCGTCATGAGATCCTGGATTGGCATAGACGTATTCGTCAGCTTTGTCCCAAAAACAAAGGACAAAAGATTCAGCTTTTTGATCGTTTTGGGGTTCCTCTCACACCACAGCAGGAACTTGATCAGATCACTGAATTCTTTGATCAATTGTACTGTGATCCAAATTTCCACCCGAACAACCCCCCGGCTCTGACGCATGTTCCGTTCATTGAGGACCAGATCCGAACTCAGCTGCAAAGATTGCCAATGACCAAAGCACTTGCACCTGATGGTCTTCCAGCTTTGATATGGCGGCACTTTGTTGCGGACCTTGCGCCTTTTCTTTGGACGGATCTTGAAATGTTTTGGTGCCATGACTGCAGTCAACCACCAGCACACTGGACCACAGGATGGATTCACCTTCTACCTAAGCCTCTTAAACCACCTAATAGACCTGAAGCCTTGCGCCCAATTTGTCTCCAGCACCCGATGAATAAGATATTGACCGGACTCCACTGTCAATTGCTACGTCAAATTGTCTTGCCACAGATTTGTCGCATGCCATTGTATGCATACCTGCCGGGTCGCAGCGCCAAGGACTGCCTTCTGATCAATTCTGATCACTGCCAACAGGTACGTAATCTGCGCCAGGGGCATCACAAGGATGCTGCACCGAAAGATTTGTGGGGTGGCCTTCAGGTATCACTGGACCTTGAAAAAGCGTTCGATGCTGTTAGTCGTAATCATGTTCTCAGAGCTTTGGAAGTGTTTGACATGAATCCTGATCTTAGAAACCTCATCACTTCATGGCTTATGCCACATGAATACTGTTTGCCTCACAAAGAATTGCTCGGCCGGATACGAGCAAGTCGGGGCATCAAACAGGGAGCAAAGGATGCACCTTTGTTGTGGATTGTGTGCATTTATCTCTTTTGTCATGAACTATTAGCTAATCATGACTTGGAATGGATTCGGGACCATGTGATTTTTGCCGATGACCTGCATTTTCGATGGATTATCAACTCAGTTCAAGATGGTCTTGCTGCCCTTCACGACTTGAGTTATTTAATTTTCAGCCTGCAAACTGCCGGATTTCGCGTCAACCCGAAGAAAAGTGCATGCGGCTAACTGGGAAGCAGATGGCTCCTTTTCTCAAGAAGTGGTGCAGCCGCCCACTCACTGGTCCTGCTTTGCATCTTCCTGATATGAACACCACAATCCCCATGGTGGGCAAGACTTCTTATCTCGGAGTTGTTATAAGCTACCGAGCTTGGGAGAATGACACTGTTGCGCGCCGGATTCAAGCTGCACAGACATATTTTCACACCCTCCGTAGTTAGCTCACGAACAGACACCATCCTCTTAATTTGAGATTGAGATTGTATTGTCAATGCATCATTGCTTCATTGTTCTATGGCATTTTTGAAATGGGTCTTACCAAAGTAGGTTGTCAACGTATTATCAGCCTCATCAACAATAATCATGGTATCATGACTCGTTCACCTGCGCATATCACCAGAGAAAACACCAGTGACTTCTTTGGCAGATTGCAGATTGATCCTCCTTGGATCATGCTTCGTAAGCACTTTGAACGACTTCAAGAACCTTTAAGCCAATGCCGAGTGTCCCTCTCGGATCCTGCTATGTCCCATGCTGCAGATGATGTCACTGTTTTGACCCCAGACTATCCACCATGTCACGTCATTGCGCCCGGTGCCACAGCCGATCCATGTGCCCAGGTGGATGCTCTTGAGTGCCCTGAATGCCATCGATCCTTCACACAGGCAGGTCCACTGAAACGCCACATGCGGGAATTTCATTCCATTCCATATTACATTGAAGATGTCTTCAATGCACTTCGTGATACAACTAATGGATATCCGACCTGTTTACATTGTGCACGTTCGTTCACTGACATGTATCGACTCCGGGATCATATCAATAGACGTGTTTGCTTGCAATTCAACCTTGCTAAGGACTGCATTGTGCCGATTTGTGATCGCCCTGATCTTCGTATGCACTTGCGCTACAAGTCCATTCCAGGCCTTCTTTTGAATCAGTCTTTGATGGCTGAATTAGCGAGTCATTGTGCATATTGCCACAGTGTCATTTCGTCACGTGCAATTCGCAAGCATTACGCTGATGCATATCCATATTTGGAGGGATTCGCTAAGCATGCACGTGACCAGATCCATGGATTGGCCAATCTTGGAAGTGGTAAAGGCATTTGTGTCCTCTGTCAGCAATCCTGTCGTGATGTCAGACATCATGCTTGTGGTGTTCGGTACCAATTGAGCGTACTAATTGGACAGACTTATGATCCTGAGCATTTTCCTTATATGCCAATCATGAAGAAGAACAGTCTGCCTGCCAACAAGTCCCCTGATCCTGCTGTTGCCTCTCCCACCACGGCGACCAAGGTACCTGAATTTGACGGTTCTACCGTTATGCAAGTGGATTTCGATGCTCAGGCCACCAGTCTGCCTTGAACCAGTCTGCCTGCTCTGACCTCGTGGATGAGTCCGAGAAGTTGAATCGATGTTTCGATCTGCCCTTGCCAATCTGGGTGGTAGATTCGGATTCGTTCGTACGGGGTCTCTTTACCTGTGTGCCTAAGGCTTCCGCCAAATCGTGAAATGATAAGTCGTCGTTGGATATATGCTCGGCCATCACTACTGCCAACTACGGTGAGAACAAGGTCACGGACTAACACGTGTTCGAGCTCCATCAAAACATGATGCAAGATCAACTGTTGGTGTGAATACGTGTCAATCACAACGTCGTGAGGGGTCCACCATGAGTCAATGCTAGTTGAGTGCCAGGCCCATCGAAAAGGTACAACAGCGATGATCCACGCCACCGCCAAGAAAAGCATGTCAGAGGTCATCAGTACCTGAGGCAGTTGGCGGAAGTGGGAGACCCATCTAGACGTCTGTGCATACCAATGAAGGCGTGCTTCCGGAACAAATGCTATCGGTGCATACAATGGCATGGTGACTTGGTGTATCATGTCCATGCAATCCGGTGCTTGGCCTGTGGTTTTGATGCCCAATGTCCATGGAATCGAGTCTGAGGCCCATCTCGGCAAAGGTGTGGTATTTTGCACTTCGATCGGGACGGAAGGACCATAATGTTGGTCTTTGATCCGCTGAATGACCAATTGTGGACATGTTCCCCTGCTAAAGTGATTCTGGAGGGCAAACGGCATCGTGAACGAAGCTCGACAATGAATGCAGCTCAGACGTCCCGGCATCATGTCCCGACTTGGCCTGAAAGGGAAGGATTCCGGTTTGTCCACCTGATGCGTCAGGCGGACATGGTGGGCCAGGCCTTTTCGTCCAATCACTTCCAGAGACATAAAGGACAGGTGAATTCGGACAATGGAATTGGAATCTCGGTGGTTGCTGTCTCTGCCAAGCGGGTTTGGATTGTATCTTTACCCGGAGGCCGTCCACGTTTGGGCTGGGTATCCGTGTGTGCAGGGGTCGACCCTGGGGAACGATGTATTATTTGATGTTGGGTCAGGCCTTAGGGGGACAAGAACACCGCCGGACACTGGGTGCATTTGAACATCGATGGACTGGGGTTGGCCTGATCCGTATTGGATTGAGTTGCAGTGGACCTGGCTGGCAAGGCTGGGTCCGGGGTTGAGGTCAAGTCCATGGGGCCCCGGAGCTTCTTGGTAGCTGGAGCTGGATCTGGAGCTTCATCAGGCTGTTGATCAGTACCTGAGGTCGAGGATGGGTACCATACACGCTTCATGCATGGCATGACAGGAAAGTGGGCTGGATCAAACACGTGGGCCGTCATGGCTGCCAGTTGGT